GACTTTGTGTATTGTACGAGCACGAAATAATTCTTCTCGTATGATCCTGTTGATCAAGTTTGCGCTTCTCCAAACGTCATCGCTTTACTTCCCGAAAACACAAACATGAGCTAGCCAGCGGGTGTGTGTCGGAAACCCCTCCGATGCTTAAGTCAGCAACTAGACAATAGACAATAAACTCTGTGTATTCTAGAGTAAGAATTGGGATACCTGTCCATAGGTCTAGTTATGAGCTTTTATAGACTTTATTTTGGCACAATCCTAGTAGGATTCCTACTCTCCCTATGAGAGTCCTCCTAGGAATCACACACCCTACTCATTACTAACCAAGTAAGATGGTTTTGCACAATACTAGTAGGACTTTACTCTCCTTAGCAGAGTCCTCCTAGGAGTCATACTCATACTCACTACCAACCAAGTGAGATGGTTTGCACAATCCCAGTAGGACTCTAACTCTCCTTAGCAGAGTCCTACTAGGAGTCTCATCACTGCAAGCCAAGTGAGATGGTTGAACCCTTTACCTCGGTTATACATTTCTGATCGAACTGTCTTATCTCTGTCCCCTGCCATTCGGACCGTGTGATCGAAAGCCAATCTATCGAATGCCACACAGCTCGGCCCTCGCCATTGATGTTACCTCATTTACCTCGGCTGACATTGCGGTCAACCAGGTTATTTCGGCTCAGTAATACTTTAAGCACCACTGTCAGTCTTGACACTGAGATGACGCCCTGCAGAGCTATCCTTTAGCTCGGTTCTCCCCCCACTGATACCTCGGTTTTGTCTGTTTAGACCGAGCTAACTGCAGCAGTCTCCGACCGAACTAACAAGGACGAGGTCCAACTTGCGAAGCCCAAACACCTCGGCCCATAGTTCAGCCCAAATCCGTAATATGAGATGTCTTCTCGTCCGAAGACCGAGCTACACCAGCCTTTATCTCGGCCCATTGCGCGGCCCAACTTCCAAAGAAGACTTTCCTAGCTCGGCCCAATTTGTTTACAAATTACCCTCTCATCAAGGTTTTAAAAAGCGGCCGCAACCGATATGTAACGCCGTTACGTAACGGTTTTGGCAGTTACTGCCACCCGTTACGGCCGCTTTTGCAGTGTGTTTGAGATTCACAGGTGTGTCGGCCGTAGCGGTCGTAACGGTGCCGTAACAACCTGTTACGCACCGTTACGTAACAGTTCCAAACTGTTTCTTTCGAAAAAACACAAAAAAAAAGCTGAAAATGGGGAAGAGGTATAGAGAGAAGAGGGAAGATAAAGAGAGAAAATGGAGGAGCAAGAGATAGAGAGAGAGAAGAGGGAAGATGAAGAACATGTTTTTGATTTGTTGAAACTGTAAGACCTATACTATTCTATTCAGCTGCTACCACTCAACCATTTTGTTTGTGTGTGTCTATTTATATATTGTTTGAAAATAATGTGGTGTTATAGAGGCGTAATGGGAAGAGTGTGGCGCATAAGGTTTATGGTGCGGGAGGTTGGCGGTTCGAGTCTCTGCAAGAGTGGATCAAATTGTTCTACAATGAATTATATTTTTATTTATCAAAAAAAATATATTGTTTGAAAATAATAATAATAATAACAAGTGTGGTCATTATCTATTTGACTTGGTTAAAATATGTGTGTATATATATATATATATATTTAGGCTCTTTTCTCTTTCTTTTGTCATTATTTATCTTATATATAATAGTTAGTGATTGATTTTTTGTATAATATAAAGTCATTAATTATTAAAATAAAATGTAAAAAACTTAGTTTGTGGTGATTTAAAAATATGAAATATATTGGATCATACTTAAAAATTTACAAAAATTGATCAATATTTATTTTTAAACCAATAAATATGACCATGGAAAAAAAATATGCGTATCGGTAAATTTTTTTCAAATTGTGCGAAAAATAAAAAAATTCACGGTTCCGGTTACCGCAACCGTTACACTACGGCTTTTACACCCCCGCAACCGCAACCGCGCCACCGCCACCGTTACCGTTACGGCGACCGCAACCGCTTTTCAGAACCTTGCCTCTCATGTATGTTTATGGATATGCATTTTTAATGGTTTCCTCTAGATTCTTGTTGTTACTTGTTGATTGCTTAAATAATGCGTGCAGTTTATGTTGAAAACACCGTCTATCTATATCTCTATGCTATGGGCCTTGTGTTCTATTAAGAGAGTACATGCACAACGAAATTCACTAGGCTTGCAATAGTAGTGCTGCTAGTGTAAGATATTGATTATTGTATCCTGGGAGATAGACGTCTATTAAATCCTAAGCACCGGTGGGAGGACGAATCTGTCTTAAGAAAAGAGTGTCACACACTCGACTCGATCAGGTTTTATTTGTTTATGTACTGTAAGTTTTGTTCCGTTGTTTTGTCAATTTATTTCAGTTTTGGTTTTGCCCAAAAACTTTTTACATATTTTTAAATTATATTTCCTTTATAGTTGGTACTATTTTTCCAACAACCTTAAGACAGAATCGATCATGTTTTATGGGTTTTGGGAAAATATAATTATTGTTTACGCATGTGTTTGGGTAATGATGCCACAAAACTACCACTAAAAGTAGAGAATACGTAGATAATCCCAATTCTAAGTGGTCCAAATTCTTGCTCTAAAGTGAATTCCAACAAAGATAACACTAGAAAGGTTAATAATAAGGTGGACAAGAGGGATGATCCATGTGTTCTCTTTCCTCTGCGATAAGGGTCTGAAGAAGGGGACTCTTTGTTCTTTCCCCAATTCGTCTGAAGCGAAATCAATGGCGACGCGGGGCTGTGGTGCCTTGATTTCGATAGGGGTGTGGTCTTTGGTGGTCATCGCCATTGATTTTGCAAGAAATTGCTAGTGGCTAGAACAACAATCTTCAAGATGTAGTGTGTATTTGCATTCTGTTTGTATTTGGGTTTTCAATGAATTCACTTTCACAGACAAGGCATCGCCAATGCCATTTTTGTGAGGATAACTACCCGGAAGGTAAATCCTTGACCAAAGAAGTCCATTTCGACATGTGTTTTGGTGTTTTTGGTGAGATCTGGTTGACCCAGATCAGATCGTGAGATCAACTTTTTGAAATTTGTAAAAATTTATGTGTTTCAATTAGTATTGAAATGTCATTAATGTATTGAGTTATACAAATTTTTATAACCAAAATTATTTTGTTTAATTGGGTTATTTTATGTAAACTATATACGTTTTGTTTTTTGATTTAATCAGAATACAAAATCTAATTGATATTGTTTATATATCAATTTGATATATGGTGCATTTTAAATGGACATCAGTCTAGTAAATTATTTATCAAGGTGTTGATAACCACTTGGGACTTTCTTCACAACCGTGAGAACTAAATTGTGTCTGGAGATATTCTGTATGAATTCTATTGTCTTGGCTTACACAAACGGTTGAACAGTTCAAGGCATCATGTTTTATTGGTGTTTATATGCTACTACCATTGGATCTCATTATATGGAAAAAATATATTTAATGTGCAAAATAAAGATTGAAGACACCCAACCAAAATCTGGTTGATCCCATGTTTGGTTCTGAAAAGTCAAGTTCAAGAACTTTTGCTTTATGACCAATGGCGTTTTGAACAACCGTGAGAACTAAACTGTGTCTGGAGATATTCTGTATGAATTCTATTGTCTTGGCTTACACAAACGGTTGAACAGTTCAAGGCATCATGTCCACTGACTAGCTAGTAAGTCCGATACACTTTCACTGAGGAAGGTTCAAAACCAAAAGCTACCTATCCCGATGCAGGATATTTCCTTAAATGTACTCTCTTTTTAGAAAAATTAGACTCAGGAAATATGAAGAATAATGCAAAGTGAAGAAGAAAATGACAAATCACCATCCAAAATGAAGTGAGGGAGATGGAATATATAGACATCTATGTGACTCTTCAGAAAGGTTGTAATCCTTCAAAAGGGCACACCCTTTCATCTCAAGAGACACAACCGTTGGAGTAAATTTTAATTCAAATTTTTCAACACCTTAAACTTGAAATACTTTGCTGGTTCTACTGATGCAGTAAACCTCGCACCTTATTGAACAAAATTAACCCTCCCACCTTTTTCTTTTTGCCTCATTTTTGTAACTTTTAGTGTTTCCTTGAAGTTCTCTTTATCCCATTTGTTTAAATCTATCCCTTTTATATGTAGGCTTACACTTTGCTTATACTAGTATCCTATCCTATCTATTGGAATTTTACTTGCAAATCGTTGACAAAACTTGTCAAATATTCAAAGGCGTTTGTTTCTTGAGCTTACCACCAATTAAACCCTTTTTTTTTTCTTCTCCCACTTGATTTTTGGTCTTAGAACTTTCTAGATAAAGCCTTATATTTGTAGACATCAAAAGTAGCTGACAGAACTACTATGGGTAATGTTTTAATGTTATGCAACTTCAAGCAGTGATGTAGTTCTCCGCTGGATTCTCTAATTTCATCTTCTCCTTCATTTTGGCACTTGAGATTAGGCCTATTCTAATTTTCTATCTATTTTTCGTCAAAGTTGTCTTATTAATTTTTGGTTGAAATGCAAGATTCCTTGTATCATTTGGTGGATGATGCAAGATTCCGTATAACCTATTTGATTTGCTATGTGATGGTTCCATCTTTGACTTCTTAATCTTATGCTGGCAAGTTATACTTCTGGGTTGATGAGTCAGTGAACTGAAAGCTATGTTTAGTGGTTTCTTTTTTTGATCGGCCTATGTTTAGTGGTTTCATTATCCTCTCTATTTTGGTCTTTTGATTCTGCAGCTTGTCTTTTTCTTTTACCTTCAATATTTTTCACTTTTCCTTTTCTTGTTAAGTCTCGGTAATTATTCTTATGTTGTTATTATTTATTTATTTATATTGTTAAAAAATTTATTTTGAATTTGCTCTAGAAGCTCACTGAATGTGTTCTCTTCCATATATTAGATGGGTTATGATCTGCTGTTGACAATCTTCTAACATTTTGATTAATGGAAAATGCAGCTTAAATTTATTCGGAATATGTCCATTAACTATAGACCAGTGAAACAACGATCTAAAAACATCAGGGGTGCTTCCAAACAGTGCTCAATGTAAGAATTTTCTGCTTGGCTCTTTTTTTTCATGGTTCACACGTGGATGGTCATACTCGCCCACAAAATAATTAATAATTGACACATATGTCATGATTTTGAAAAGGAAGTTTGTGCAAAGATTATGCTAGAGCTCCCTACACAATTACTTAGTGTTTTGACGTGGACATTTCTACCTAGGCTGCCACGGTTTTCCTTTATCATTCCAACTAAGAAATCAAAGAAATGGATTCGTCTTCTTTCTGGTTAAATGACCATTGGAGAATTGTGTAGTTGAATGGACAAACAATCATAAAACGCCAAGTGAGGAAAACTGTTTTGATTGAAGAAGATAAAAAAGAAACAGAATAATCAAACTGTCAGTGTTGAATATTTATTCAAACACTAGATACCATTTTTTATATCATCGGTTGTCTTCAAACGAAAGTGTCAGTTAACAAACTGGCTTCCGTTGAGAAGTGGATTTGAAAACTATGAAAGCTTTACCCAATGGCATTCGTGATTTCAAGAGAAGAATTGTTGTGTGGAATTTATTTTTGCATTGCTATTGTGCTTTATGCTCGAGACCCACAATTTGGATTCTTAAATTTACCCACAATGATGTGGCAAGAGAAGTAGGCCTTACACAATTGAGTATATGACAACTCAAAAATTAACATGTATTATGTCACATCATTGTGGATCAAATTATGGGAGGTTTTTTGTGGGCCTTAAATGTTTTCCATTGTGTTTATTAAATTACCGTAGAAAGACCATTTTCAACTGAAGGATGAAGAAATTTATTTGGTTCTCTCTTATATATATGACCCAATGTATTATAAAAAATTATATTTATATAAGACTACATGTGAACTATGCTAGTGACATCCATATTGGTGAGCTTTGCCAGAGAGGTTGAGAGCCTCTCCTAATCATTATTCATTTGAAGTTGGATTTGATCTCCATCTGTAGTGGATGTTGACAATATTGCCAAGCCATGTCTTGTTGCTTTGATTTTCTCTGGTTTTATTCGCAATTGAACAAAAAGAATATATATACTTGAAATAAATTGACCGACAAAAAGTGTATCTGACATAGGACACTAGTACATAAAGATACATATTCAGTCGGACATGCACCAAAAAAAATTGTCAAAAGTTACCCTTTTATTGGTTGTCCGGTGTCTTGGAGAAAAGTACCATGTATTTTTGTGAGTATTTTCTCTGCTTGCAGAGAAATGGAACTAATGGTGTTGTTTAACAGGGGAGAGCAGACCAGTACAAATGAAGATGAGGAGGAAGTTCTGGTGCCAAAATTCAAATTGACTCGCTTCTTGAATGGTCGGCTCTCATTCTCCAATTTGAGAAGTTCGACAAGAAAGGGATCTATGGGAAGAAGGAGTCATTCTTTGAGAATTTCCCTGCATTGATATGGAGCCTGACCCAAAATGATTCAGCTTCACATGTAACTAACATTGATAGAAAATAGTGAAGCATGTTTGACATTTTTGTTGTCAGATGCTCCTGTGGCAGGGTATATGTAGCCTAGATGTGAAATTTGATTACTGGACCGGGACTTATTTACCAAGTTGTCCTGATTGAGTCAGCTAATCTATTCTCTACCCGGAGGAAACAAAATTTGTCCCAGTTAGGAAGAGAAGAACATAGATGAGAGCTAATAGCTAATGATTATCGTCCCATGAAGTTCTACTTTATATGTTTCGCTAGATGGTTTTGCACAACGTGTCTTTGACAGGAATAAGATCTGAAATTTTTGTAACAGTACTATTATCCTCCATTTATGAAATGTTGGTTTTTATTAGTGTTCTCTGCTGACTTTTGAGGTTTTTCCGGATGTGTGACTAACTAGTATGTGTTTCTTATGGAATTGCTGATTAAATTAATGGCATTTGGATGAATTCCTATACTAAACTACAACTTAACTGATTAATAAGGCTGTTTCTTCAACCAAAAAAAAAAAAAACTGATTAAATTAACATCAGTTATATGAATCCTTGAAAATCAACTGATACAAGTGGGGGTTTTTTTCTGTTTTTTTTTTTTTTTTTAAGACAAATTGGTTACAAAATCTTTTTTTTTTTTTTTTTTTTAATAAATAAATTCTCCTACTTTGTAACCTAAGCTATTGTTGATAGGTTGTAAAGGCACAAAAAACTGTTAGCTAGTCATACTCTCAACATCTCTATAAGTGATTAGCACAGATTTCATTTGACAAGACGCCTACACCCCCTTTGGATTGTGTGGTGAGAAAAAAAATTAAAAATGCTTAGGATCGTGAAAAATTATTTTAAAAATTATCCAAAATGAGTTGTATGATATAGATTTAAAGTTGGTGTGATGCAGGCCCCATCTAGAATGATTGTGATTTATAAAGTTATTTTTTTTCTGAGTCTGTATTATTACAGTAAAAAGAAATAGTTCGTTTGGATTGGGAATTTTGGCAAGAAAATAAAATAAATGGTGATAAAAGAGAACTCCGCTTATTTTATTTTTTTTACCAAAACTAATGAGATTTTGTGAGAAACAAACCCATGAATTATAAAATACTTTATAATACTGAGAATGCCTAAAATAAAATACACACACCCAAGAAATATTATCCTTCTTTCACTTGTTTTTATTTTCTTACATATCTAAATACGATAGTAAGAAATACAATAATTTCTAATGTTACTTAGGTTCATGTAATGGAAATACATAGCAAGTAGTGGTCTTGTTGTAAGAACCATACACCCATAAAGATAGTAACACATTCATCTTTACTCTCAACATCTCTCTCCATGTCTGTGTATTCGGATATAAAATTTTAAAAAATATTTATAGATTAGTGATAAATTTTATAGACGTTATAAAGTAAAATTATAATGATTATCATACATTTGTAATTAATTTTTGGAAAAAACTCTGACATGTTATTTTCTTTATAAATTTTAGGCAAAAAAACATGACTTATTGCCGAAATTTGAAATTTTGTCATATTTGACTCCACCTATAAAGATGTCAAATGACACCAAACATAGGGAAATATCAAATTTCAATACACTATTTGAGGTGGTTTATTGTGTTATAATATCAAATTTTAACTTCTGCATACATTTGACTCACATACAATCTAGGAATTAGATGAAAAAAATTGACCGGACAATTTTTTTTTTCTTTGCTTAGTTATAAAATAATTTTTTTTATAAGAACTCCCAATTAGCCTGATATTTAGTTTTTTTATTTTTAAATTTTTTTGGAAGCATCTAACACTTTATTTGGAAGAACGTAGAAGAGCAATGCAATAATGATAGTATATTTTAAAGTATGATTTGATATTATTTATGTGGCTTCAAATAATATGATAACGTAGTGAAAAATTTTACAAGTAAAATAGGTTGACTCCATGATGGAACTACCTGAAGAAATTTTTGTTTCCGCACGCCAAATCTCCTCAATCTACACACTTAATGAATTTTTCTTATATTACATTTTTATCCTAAAATAAAAATACTAAAATATTCTCATCTTTTCAACCTAAACCCTAATTCTCAAACTAAAACACAATTGTGCCATCCGCGGTCATTAGCCTCCACCTCCTGTGAACTTTTTCCACCGCCATTGTCACCACATGTTGGGTTTTGCAAGATTTTGTACCCCGTTGATTATTTTGTTTTTTGTTTCGATGAATGCTAGCTAGAACGTGAATGATTAATGAATTTTGGATCTACTACATAATTTCTTAGAAAGTCAAGAATTGGTTTAGATGTTTTGAGTTGTGAGTAAGTGTGCGAGGAGCAAATATTCAAGCAAGCCCGCACTCATTTCTTCCAAGCTCTATTCATGTCCGATCACCTGCGTACACAACAGCAGTGAGCTACCCAACGGTGTGTGGCCGGAAAATCCCTCCGACGATCAAGTTAGACACACACACAGGAATAAAGAGAGAGAGAAAAGACTGAGTTGAGTGTAAGTATTTCTCTTACCAAATGTTCGTGTGTCCAGCATGGAGGGCGCAGACTTACTTATATACCTTCTGCGCCCCAAATCTACTCCCAGTGATCTCTCGACACGTGGTTCTGCTATCCCATTTGTCAACACAAATCTTGCTGAACATCACCTAACCTGACTGCTAGCCTAATGCATTTGGAGCTCGGCAGCCGAGCTATAGCATCTCGGCTGTCAACGGCCATGCTGCGTTTCATGCCCAGGTGCCCCCAACAACCGAGCTACTTTCCAGCCATGCTCAACTGCATTCCGGCGAAGCCAAGCTTGAGATTGGTCATACCGGTCAACCAAAGTCCTCCCTACCGAGCTATGGATGCGTGCTTTCCAACCGCGCAACGCATAAACCGTGGAACCCTTACTTGACCGACCTCCGTGCCGACAAGGTGAAGTAGCCCAGTTCCACATGCCACTGCCATTGCCGAGCAAAAATCACTTCTGGGTGGACCCCGGATACCACGGCCCAAATGTGTTCGGCCCACAATTTGCCTAGTATTACCATGGCCCAATCTAGACCATATTTTTCCCTCTCAGTAAGTGAGGGATAAATATAATGGACAGTTTTGGGAATGGTGCAAGTGGACGCAATTCTAAAACATTATGTGATCTTCTTGAAGGACTTGAAATTCATTGAATCTGGCAAACTCGATCATAAATTTAGAGACTCAGACATGCGTCCAAGTTGACCAACAATATCACAAGTATTTACCCCACTCTCTCTCTCTCTCTCTAATGCACACACTCACAAAACATCAGTTTATGTTTGGAAAATTATACAATTTTTTTTAAACTGTAAATAGAGAATGTTATGGGATAGGATGGGCTGGTAATGGCGACTAGTGATAGTAAAGGGATGAGAATGGCAATGATGGCGTAATTTTCCAGTGTTGGTTGGCTGGCGGTGAATGAAAAATGGTGAGCTAGGGTTAGGATTAAGGTTTGAAGAAAGAAGGAGATTAAGGCATTTTTGGTATAATAAATTGTGTATTGAGTAGAAGATGAGATTTTAAATTCATTAAGTGTGTGCCTTGAGAAATGATGTGCACAGAAAATATTTGATATGTGGAAATAGAATTTCCCAACTACTTGGGGGATGGGGGATGCCATGCCCCCCAAGTTCTAACAAATTACACTAGTACCTCTACAATTGATGATGTCTATAAAATGCATATTAGATTACCTCATAATTTTTGAAAATCATTTTATTAACTATCTGTTTCATTATTTTTTCACAATGTATAATTATGTAATTTTTGACTATTTCTCACACTATTTAATAGATCAATATAATCTAGTCATTTTTATTTATAGAAAAGGTGTATGCCACAATTTTTTTGGTTTTTTGTTTTAAAAAATTAGAGAAACATGTATACTTTTTATTTACGGGATATTGTCAACCAACAAAATAGTTTTATTAATAATTCAAAACTGTAGAAAGAATTTATAAGAAAAATAAAATTGTTAGATTTATTTTTGTCCTCGTAAATTATTGTTTTTTCACAATTCTTTCATAAGAAATTATCTTCTATTAGTAATGTATCAAAATTAAATATTTATTATACATACACCTTGGCTATTGTTAGCATAAATCCTAATTCCACCCTGGGTGTGTTACAATTTCTCATTTAGTAAAAGTGTCATGGTAATAATATCACATGTTAATCTCAATTCGGTAGAATGTGAGATTTTTTTTAATGAATTTTGTCCAATGTTTTTTTTAATGTTATTATTTTTATCTTAAAAAAAGCAACAAATATGAAAAAAATGGTATTAACACAAAATAATTACTTATAAAATGTTGAAGTACAAGGCTTAGTTGCACAATTTAATACAAAAATCTATTATATTTCCACACCTTTGTAATTATTTTTCTACTCTCTATTTTTTAGATATTCTTCATTTAAAAAATAAGCAAGGGTTAATTACATTTTTTTTTTTCAAAGTATGAGCATTGTATTATTTTGGTCTTTAATATTTAAATTTTGTCCATTTACTTTTGTGTAAATCCATAATAAAAACCTAATATAAAAAATTAATTGTAATAAGATAATATTTTAAGATAATTGACAGTTAAGCTTTGAAATTTTGCGAGCAAAGTACAAGTACATCATAAATTTAAAGAGGTTTATTGCAATTTACTCTTTAAAATATCATGAAGCAAAATATCACAAAATTCATATTTTGGGTGTCTGAAACACTTAAAAAAGTCACATATTTTTTATTTTATTTTATTTTTTAATTGGTAAAAGTAAAGAAAAAAAATTCTTAAAAAATTAAAACAACCAAGAAAAGTAAAAAAAAAAAAATTTTGTTTTAGAAAATTGATTTTTTGATTTTTTATATTTTTTTTAGTCAAAAATTTTAATATCTTAATATTTTAAGATTTTTTTTTTAATTTTTTTTTAAATACACCTAACCTAAGTACTATAATATTTATACATTAAAAAAAAAAAACATCAAATACAAAAAAAATATAAAAATTCAGTATATTTTTACATTGTTGTGTATTTATTGAATTTTTAATTTTTTTTACAAATATTTTATTTTTTAAGTACATCTAGAAAGTAAAAAATTTATTTTAAATATTAAAAAAATTCAAATAAAACACAAAAAAAAACTAAATTTTTAAAAAATAATCTAAACCAAAAAATGTGACTAATTTTTTGCTTATTTTTGCATTGTCTAGAGTTTATTTGAAATTCTTTAAATTTACTGCGTTGAGCTGATTTAAAAAGTTTAATACATTTTAATTTTTGTAAAAATTTATTCACTAAAAAACAATTGAAAAATATGATTTAAAATTTTTAAAATTATATCACGTTATTTATTAGTATACTAATCAATATGTGAATCGGTCTAAACAAAAATTAGTAAAGACACAGGAACGGCACCCGCTTGTTTTTAGAGGTAGAATGAAAAAGATTGATAGTGAAGGATTAAGCAAAATTGTTTTTGTTTTGAATAGTTATTAGTGTGGGATTATTAAATTATTTTTATATAAAAGAAATATAAAATAATAAAACAAATAAAACTATGATTTTTATTTAACAAAACACACAAAAATATTAAACATTAATGTTAAAAAAAAATGCCCAGAGTGCATTAAAAAAAAGAAAAGAAAAGCCGGAGAACTAATTTTCTAATACCAAATCTTTGGCCTCTATCTCAATCCCAACATCCAAGGTCCATCCTAATCTAGAAAGCTTATAAATCCCTTCTCTATCTCTTAAAACAAAAACAATATTAGTGTATTTAGTTTCAATTTTCTGAATTCAGTTTTTTGAAAACTGAGTTCATTGTTTTTTATATATATATTTTTATTTTTAGTGAATATTTGTAAAATTTTAAACATTTTTTTTTTACTTTTTTAGATGCACCTTACTTAAATGTATTTAAAAAGTAAAATATTTATGAAAAAATATTTAAAAAAATTAATAAATACACAAAAAATATATTGAATTTTGATATATATTTTTTATATTTAATGAATTTTTTAAAAAATTTCTTCATAAAAATTATACTTTTTAAGCGTATTTATATTAAGTATGTTTAAAATTTTAAAAAATTACTTAAAATATTAAATAAATTTCAATAAAAAAAAAATACAGAATACAAAAAAAAATATAATTTTCTAAAAAATATTTTTAAAAAATTCAATCAAATGGCGGTGTTTGGGAACTAGGTTTTTAGGTTTTCTTTTTGATTTTTTTATTACAAGACAAATATTTTACAAAATCAAAAAAAAAATAAATCCAAACAAAATATCACATCAAACCCCATAATTATTTCACTTTTTCTCTCACAAATATCACATGTAATCACAAACTTAAAAAAACCTTTAAAAAAAAAAAAAAACCCACGTTACAAACTCCCACCCACAAAGTCATGAATGAATCCATCTCAATCCACGCCTTCCTCCGTCTCTCAAAACAAACGGGCTAAGATCGTGGTGGCACCGTCCCTGTCTCTTCTTTATGAGAGTGGAGTGAATGATACGGACACGTCTCTACGACTGCAAATTTGAAGTGATTGTTTACAAAGATAGCGTAAGGTGTGCCGTTTATCAGGCTCGTTTACTTGTCAGTTTTGCCTTGGCGTTCATGGAGGACTGGTAGTTTGTTTGTCACTTGTCCCAGATTCCTCCCGCTACTAAACGACGTCTCTTCTCTTTCTTCTTCAAATTCTAGGGTTTCCATTTGCTGCTCAACATCAACTGTTAGACTCTCAGTCAAGAGATTCTACTCTATTTTTATCTCTTTCCCCTTTTACATTCGCCGACTTCTCTCTCCCTCTTCTCTCCTCTTCTGGTAAGTGAAGTTAACTTTACTCTCTCTCTCGTCCAATTTATGGGTGTATTTGGGTTTCGGGCCATAATTTTCTATTAATTTCCTGCATTTCTCAGCCAATAAGCTGATTGTTGAACTCAATTTGACTTGCCCTTTTGTGGGTCAAGTTTTTTTTTTTTTGTAATCATGAATATTGTTTACTATACAGTGATTTTTCTGGGTTGAAGATTTGAGATTGCCTAAACCCTAAAACAGAAATAGATGTTTGTTTTTCCTGCTGGTGAATCGGAGAAAGAGAGCCTTGCTTAAAAGAATAGAATTATAGTCGCGTTTGGATGCGTTACATGTTTCCTTTTTTATTTTTTATTTTTGAGATTTAGACAGAAGGAAACATGTTTTTCTTTAATCCCAGAGGAGTTTAAAGTGGGATCGAGCTTCTGTTTAATGTTCATCTGCTTGTTTTGACTTGTGAAGAAATCTTTTATGTGTTTAATTTTCGAGCTTTGTTTTGAAAATAGTTTTTAAAAACTAAAAACCAAAAACATGTGCCAATCCTTATTTAGTTTTGTGTTTTCAAACTTTTGTGGAAACAAAAACATGAAACAATACACTAAAACAGGTCTTGACTCCTCAATTGGATGAAAAATATGTGGAGATCTTGACCTCTTTTACCTATAGGGATTTTAGGTGCGGATTTGAATTTTATCCAAGTTAATAAAAGAGGAAATCATCACTTGAGTGATTCTCTCACCTAGTTAGTATCTCTAACATTTACTTCTGTAGCAGAGGACATGAAATTGATATTTACTGCATTCTCTTTTCTTTATTGTGCGATTCAGAAGAAGAAATGGCTGAACAGATTGGGGCAGTTCAACCGGTAGCTTCTTTTGATTATGAGCTCTATGAAGGAGATCCTGATCACCTTAGAACTGTAGTAGCTACACCTCCTCTGATTCACCCATGGATTGATCCTGCATCATTGAAACTCAAGCATAGGATTGGGCGAGGACCCTTTGGTGATGTTTGGTTAGCAACACATCATCAATCGGGCGAAGATTTTGATGAGTATCATGAAGTAGTTGTTAAGATGTTACATCTAATAAAGGAGGATCACGTGCAAAAGTTCTTAAACAAGTTTGAGGAACTATTTCTGAAGTTACGGGGACTTTCAGCTGTTTGCTGTTTGCATGGTATCTCAATAATATCTGGAAAGGTAACTTTTGCATGTATTTTGACACGTATAAACACTTTTCTCTGTTAACATGATAACTCTGTAATAGTTCACTTCGTCATATTTTGCTAGATTTGCATGGCCATGAAATTCTATGAGGGATCAGTTGGTGATCGAATGGCTCAATTGAAAGGAGGAAAACTTCCACTGCCTGATGTATTGAGGTGATTTTTTTTTTTTTAATATTGAGGTGATTTGCTTGGGGATATTCCTGTTTTTTCTTCTAAATTTTATAATTTTGATGATGGAGCTGGATTTATGCTCATGGAACACTGTCTGCAGGTATGGTATTGATTTGGCTAAAGGAATTCAAGGATTGCACTCAATAGGGGTATTGGTGCTAAACCTGAAGCCTACTAATTTCCTTCTTAATGAACATGACCAAGTTATCCTGGGGGATTTCGGGATCCCTTACCTACTTCTGGGGATTCTGCTGCCCAACATAGATTTGGCTTTCAGGCTTGGAACCCCAAATTACATGGCTCCAGAACAATGGGAACCAGAAGTGAGAGGTCCATTAACCTTCGAGACTGATACTTGGGGCCTTGGATGCAGCATTGTGGAGATGTTGACTGGTGTTCAGCCCTGGTTTGGCATGTCAATAGAGGAAATATATCGCTCAGTTGTCATAAAACAAGAAAAACCACAGCTTCCAAATGGTCTGCCTCCTGCAGTTGAGAATGTTGTCAATGGGTGTTTCGAGTATGACCTCCGGAATCGCCCTTTAATGGCAGATATAATACATGCATTTGAAAGGTATGTTTCAATGTCTCTTTTGAACAATATATTGGGCGGGTGTGAGCCACTTTTATGATTCATTTCAACTGATGTTTTTATTTTATTTTATTTTATTTATATATATACACACACACATATATATATTGATAACTCTTTGTCATTTTTTTTCTCCCTCTCTCTTTCTTACTTGTTGTAATCTATACGTTCCGCTGACTTTACATAACATTGTATTAATTTGTCGGCAACATGGTGAAATCTGAATAAATAACTGTTTTTTTAAGGGTAAATTACCTATAGGTCATACTTTTGGGACTTATTACCATAGTTGTCAAATCGGGATTCGAATTGTGAATCGAAATGGCCTCGTACCGAATCGCGAATCGAATCCAATCGTGAATCGTAAAGATTCGGTCACTTTTCTAAATTATTTGGAAAATTATATCTACACACTTGGATGTTAAATACATCTTATGAATATGAAATATTTAGACTTAAATCGATGAAAATACGGTTTTGAACGATGATCACATAGTTTAATAGGTAAGAAATTAACAAAAGTTTTCATGTAATATCACCATCTTACCTTTTTTGTTTTTTAGTTATTTCTTATTAATCATTCTTAATAAAGACAATAAACAAAGTAAAACTCTTAATTTTCAAAGTAATAATAATTTAACAATGATATTGATATTTGGACAATAATATACATATTTTTCCAAGTTAACAATGACCAAATAATAATAATAAAAATTATATATTTAGGATCTTTTATTTTAAAGTCTAAAACATTTAAAAAGGTATAACTGACCTCACCCATGTAATATTCAACTATATGTAATTTAATAAAATAGCAATCAGCTTGTTTGGTTTTGATTTTGATTTTGATTTTGGTTTCTAGAAAACACTTTTAAGAAAATTCTACTTTTTTATTTTTCGCATTTTTTTTTGTTTTCAATGAATTTTTTTAATATTTTAAGCAAGTTTTTAAATTATTAGACATACCTAACATAAATACACTTAAAAAGTATAATATTTGTGAAAAAAATCTTTAAAAAATTAACTAAATATCAAAAATACACAATACGAAAATTCAGTTCATTTTTCATATTTTTGTTTATTTATTAATTTTTTAAAATATTTTTTTACAAATATTTTACTATTTAGATACATCTAAGTAAGGTGCATTTAAAAAAGTAAAAAATTTGCTTAAAATTTTAAAAATATCCACTAAAAACAAAAAAGCACGAAAAACAAAAAACTTAGGGTATATTTGGTTTGGTTTTGGGAGAGTAGTTTTTAAAAATTGTTTTGGGAGAGAGAGTTTAGAAATTTTTTTGGTTTGTTTGGTTGTGTATTTTGAAAGTAGTTTTGGAGTTGGAATGATTTGATATTTTGTTATAATTGAGTAGATGTGTGTGAGAGAAAAAGTGATTGATTGATAGGTAAGAGAGAGAAAGTGATTTTGAAAATTGTTTTGGAAAATTTACAACCCAAACAAATTTTGTAAACTTTTTTGTCCAAAATCACTCTACAAATCCAAACCAAACATACCCTTAATTTCTAGAAAATTGAATTCAGAAAAGTAAAACTAAACACACTGAATAGTAATTCATGGGGTAAGTTACTTTAATCTTAAACATCTTTAGAAGATAAATTATTATTTTTTAAAGGAAGAAAAATGAGAAGAAAGCTTAAAAACATGCTAGGTCTGACTTAATCTGATTGGATCCTATTAAAAATTCCATGATCACTAAAATAACAACAAATCATGTATATATTGATTATTTTGGTATTAAACGCTATTGTAAGTTGTATTATGTCATTTTTACTAAAAAGATGGAGAAAAAAAGAGTTACAAATATGTTGGACATGATAAATTTAAGAATTACATGAATCGTAAAAAGTGAATCGAATCGTGAATCGATTGTCAATCGTGCGATTTACTAGAGATTCACTTCCAAAATAGATTCACGCATAAATTCATATAGATTTTGTAAAAACTATGAATTAAATCGTGAATCATAAGATTCTGATAAAAGAACTTATTACCTATTAAATCCTCTTGATAAATTTATCAGTTTCCCTTGTTTTTATGAATAAATTTATAATGACAAATTTATCAGTCAGCATCTGTAAGTAAATAAGTCTACTTAATAGGACTGGTTGGTAAGTGTCCTTTTTTTTATTACCCAGCTCATCATATGTCAATTTAGTTTGTGTTCAACTCCATTCAGCAAGCCTGAGATCCAACTTCTTGGGCTAGCTTAGATTAATTGAGGTTCACCATTTACCTTTATGTTGGGCTACATAAACAGAATGAAATGACCAAACAAGTTTCATGTATTGGGTCCTAAATTGTTGGAATGTTAAGTTACATATCTTTATCTGCGGCCATTCTTTCTTAGACTCCAAAGGATTCCATATCTTTCCTTAAACTCAACCAACTTTTTAGTTCTGATCTTGGCTGGGATTACTCCCTCGACCTCTTGATTATTGATAACTTAAAATAATTCCAAGACATTTTTTAGTTATATTCTATGTGATTTGCTTGTATCTTCCTTGTGTTTCAGTTTTTTCTAATAAAGTTTTAATTGTCATTATTTCTGGCATCAACTTATTACCTCTTGCAGTTTCTTTATAGAATCACCTTTTGATTTATTGATTGACTAAATTAATGTATATATTTGAAAGGAAGAACCTTGTGAACTTTTGCTGAGTGTTTTAGTTCTGACTTCTGTGAACAGCATCATTTTATACATTAGCAATGGTTGTGATGACAATTTCAACAGTAAGATCTATATTGTACTATTCTTTCAATATTTATGCATTGAGTAGGATAGGCTGGATAGCTTCTTGGATTTTATGGTGAATTGATTTTGTTGTGAAATGTTTTGTATTTTGATTATCTTGCTATGTGTTAGTATTACCGATGAGATAATAGGTTTGTAATTGGTATAATTGGAACTAGTGGTGTTGATGCAGCGCGAAATGCGAAATAATAACAATCTTAGAATCTGTTGATTCAAACGAGAATACCAGAAGCAAGATTCTTCTTTAAATTCGTTGATTCACAAAGAATATCGAGAATAAAGACTCAACAATGGTTGATTCACAAAGAATGCCCAAAGTTGAAACAAAAGAGTATAAAACTCGAAATATATTCACCTTGCTTGGTTTCCAGTTTTTCAAAACACTTTTCAAAAAATTCTACTTTCTTATTTTCTGTGTTTTTTTGTTTTTACTGAATTTTTTTAATATTTTAAGCAATTTTTTTACTTTTTAGACACACCTAACATAAATACACCTAAAAAGTAAAAAAATTGTAAAAAAAATCTTTTAAAAATTCACTAAATACCAAAAATACAAAAAAAATATAAGAATTTAGTGTATTTTTATGTATTTATTAATTTTTTAAAATATTTGTTCACAATTTTTTTACTTTTTAGATACATTTAAGTAAGGTGCATCTAAAAAAGTAAAAAAAATGTTTAAAATTTTAAAAATATTCACTAAAAACAAAAAAACACAAAAACCAAAAAAGTCAACTTTCAAAAAACTTAATCCAGAAAACTCAAACCAAACACAGTGATTAATTCTCAAAAAACTGAAGAGCTGTAAGACTTACATCCATTATTTATAAGCAAAGACATACCTAACTTAACTAGAAAACAACCAGAATTGGAAAAAAATCATAGTGCAATATGGAAATAAGGAAAATTACCAAAAATAGAAATATTGCAATAAAATAAAAAAACTGCTAATATATACTTCCACGATCATGGTAGATTTTTCGAAATTAGATTCTGGGCCTGTGCTAGGAGTAATTGAAGTATCAAATCTTTCCAAAAACGGACCACTCAAACGATTGAATTTGCCCAAAATCCACTAGGGTCCATGATAAAGCCATGGATCCTTCTTAAAATCATGTTTTCCATTGACCCACCAAATGTCATGCGATTTCGAGTCCAGCCCCTTTTTTGCCTTTGCCTTTGCCTATCCCTTTGATCCAAGAATTGTATGGCCATGAATGCTACGTCATCCTCCCCTGGGTGGAGAGAATTTGCCCTCGAATTCGCAGCCTCTTCGTCAGAGCCGTCACCTTGATATGGAATGAGGTGTTTGATGTTGAACACGTCGGAGGTACGAATGTGACTAGGAAGCTTCAAACAGTAGGCATTGGAATTGATCTTCTCCAAAATTTCAAAGGGCCCAATTTCCCTAGCTGCCAACTTGTTATATTCACCTACCGAGAACCTGTATTTTTTAAGAACAACCCACACAAAATCTTCAACTTCAAATTCCACCAGTCGGTGTTTCTTATCGGCAATCTGTTCATACTTGGCCACTAATTCTTGCAAATTGTGCTGGTTAAGTTTGTGAACCTCCTGAAGGTTGTGAATCAGATCTTTTGCTTTGCTATTAATGCGCTTTAAGTCTGGCATAGGTGCTAAATCCAGCGGGCCCGTGGTTGGTAACCATAATTGACATAGAAAGGACTAAAGCTGGAACTTCTATTGACAGAGCGATTGTAAGGAAACTGCGCTTGGTGCATTTTTTGATCCCATGATTTCAGATGATCCTCTACCAAACACCGTAGCATATTGCCCAAAGAACGATTGACAACTTTTGTTTGACCATCAGTTTGGGGATGATAGGTGCTATTGAAATCAAGCTTCATATTAGCCAATCTGCACAGACATCTCCAAAAATGACTAAGAAATCGGGTGTCTCTGTCTGATACAATGGACTGAGGTAGTCCATGTAAACGGTAGATTTTCTTGAAAGTACAATTGGGCCACATTTACAACACCTGTCATCTTCTTGCAAGCAATGAAATGGGCCATTTTAGAAAATCTGTCCACGACTATGTAGATGGAGTCACAACCCCGCTGAGTACGTGGCAGTCCCAAAACAAAATCCATACTAACATCAGTCCATGGTTGACTGGGCACTGGCAGCAGCGTGTATAATCCTGCATTTGTTGCTGATCCCTTTGACACTTGGCAGATGCGACACCC